TGGTTAATTGTAAAGGCCACCAAATGCATTCAAACTATGGAAATGATGCAGTTGTCTGTAAAGAGGGCTTATGCTCAGATAAAGTGGAGTTAATTGTATTTATAGTGTATATTAAATCGTTCCAGGGGGAAAAAACCCCCTGTAATTAGTGCTGTAATAAAAGGGTGCTCAACCCCCTGCCCATGGGCCGGATCTGGCCCCTGGTACTTTGTCATCCAGCCCTGCAGGGTTCCCCATGGGTCTGTGGAGAGCCCCACAGGCCAAGGCTCTGCATGCTAGGTCAGATGTGCATGGTGGCATGGGGCACAATCTCAGTACATGGCAGCAGCACAGGGTCCCTAGAGCCCAATCCCAGCATGCAGGACCAGGCGGAGGCAGCGTGGAGCCTTCAGGGCCCAAATGCCACACGCAGGACTCAGTGGAGGCGATGCAGGGCTCCCAGGCCCAATGCTGGTGTGCCAGGTCAAATCTGGCTTACAGACCAGCCCCGTGCCTTTCATTTGGCCCCGTCGGGCCAAAAGGTTCAGCACCGTGGCTCTAATATGTCAAGACACAACTAGTTATTTAACAAAATCTCTGCCTATAAGCAGGGTAAAAGGACCTCTGTTGTACTGGAAGGCTTTATGCTTTAAAGACAGATCAACCCTAAAAATAACATTCTATACATAAAGGGCTTAGTCCATCTGTCTGTGTGTTTGTCTGTAATGCTCTTGGAGCAGTCTGATTGGTTGTCTCAGCAGCCAGTCACAGTGCTTACTGAAACAGCCAATCAGAGTGTTTTGCACAGACAGACAACCAGACACGGGGAATGATAGCGGGGATGGAGCCCCTTGGATGCGGTGCGGGGTGGTGGTGGCGCGGCGCAGCGCTGGTCTCCCCCCCCATCCCTGCTTTAATAGTAGTGAACAGGCAATTGGCTACTATTAAATATATCATTCTAACAGAAAGAGTTCTGCCACATCCTACAGTTCATAAAGTAATACTTCCCATTAATTTTGAAAATGCCCTCCATGTACTTTTCCCATCTAGTAGGTTTTATCCTATCATTCAGTCATCTGACTTAGTGGAATGCTTAGGCTGTTTATGATGAAAGCTTATAACTTGGTGTTTCCCGTCAGCTATATGCAGCAACCGCCCTATAAAGTGCCTTTTAGGTAACTTACATTAACCTTGTCTCAGGTTTTTTGGCATAGAATGGGCCATGCTGTATGTTGCAAAGAGGGCACGGGTACCAAACAATGAATGGATCACATGCAAAGATCATTGGCTGAAAACGTAAGAGAATCTGAATGCACCATTAACCCATATGTGGGATAAAAAAAGACTTGCTTATAATGCCATTTCTTTAAATGGCATCCAACTCTAAACCTAACTGTGACAGAGCCAAGGGTGTACTAGAATTAACCATTCACAAAGAGTTTCTCCAGTGAAGTAGGAACAAGCAAAGTTTCCGTCAACATCGTGTCCATGCCACATGCTTTTTCTTAAAAGAAAGAACAGACTTTGGTAAGTCATTTGCTACTAAGCTATATTCATTTTTGCCTCTATGCCAGGTTCCCCTTTTGCGGCCAATGCATATGTCTGGTTTGTAGACAAACTGCATACAAATGAATGACTGTCTGTACAAGCAAACTCCAAGTGAAGTAGGTCTTATTTTTTCCTTCCTTTCTGTTCACTGTTAATTTTTTATGCTCCAGGGATTTGATATGTGTGATAGCCTTTCAGCAAACAGCAGGCACCCAGCTGGGAGGTGAAATGGCACAAAAGTCTAAATCATGAATACCTGAAGCATTTTGTTTTCTAAGGGTCTCTTTATTTTTCCTGACTTTAGATCCTCAGCTTTCCTATCCTTGTTTTTTAAACCTCCCCCTGTGGCATTTGTTCTCCAGGAGATTGTTTGTTTAACTGTAGCATGCCATAGGGGACTTCTAGACTACATTTCTTAATTTGTGGGTTTAGCTTTGATGGTATAAAAATTTAGTGCATTGGGGTTGTTAAAGATTCCTTCCTAGTTTGTAATAATTCTTTTGCTTTTACCTTGTAGTTTTGTAAGCCTGTCAAATGATTAAAAAATGTGATCACGATTCATTGTATGATTAAAAAATTTGTTGCAATTAATCACAATTTTAATCACACAACTAAAAAATCAAAATTATGCACAGAAAAACTCAAAAGTACACACAATTATGCAGGTACTTTGTATGGTTGGGGTGTGGTTGTGAGGTGTGTGTGTGGGAGGGAATCTGTGAAGGTGTGGGGGTCTGTGGCTCTGTGTGTGGTGTTTGGAGCCCAGGGAGGGGGGACCCCTGCATGCCCTGGCAGGATGTGAGGTACTGTGGGTAAGGACTGAGGGGCAGCAGCAGGGCTAGGGGGGCTGTGGTTTGGGAGTAAGGGGCAGGGGCAAGGCAAGGGCATTCTCCCCACAATCATATTACCCCCCCGCCTTCCACGGGTGTCCTCTTTTTAGAAACTGGAAATACGTAACCCTAAAGAAATGCAGCCTGGCAGCGTGTAGAGCAGCACCCAGCAGGTAAGTCTGTGGAGAGGGAGGGGGAGAGAAGGGGCAGGGGAGACAGATTGAGGCCCCCATGATGAAGGAGGGAGTGGGGCAGGGGCTAGGATGAATGGGACCCAAGGGCCAGGACAGGCCATGGGATGGAGCTGCGGGTGGCTCACCCAGGGGCTCAGTGAAAGGAGGATCCCTGCTGCTGTGCACATCCCTGGGGGAGGCACGTGGGGCATGTGCCTGCCCTTCCCCCCGGATTTGTGCACAGGGTGATGACAGGCTACTTGCTTGATGCCCTGCTGCCTTTGCCCTGGGACAGACCTATGGCAATGCCATGTTGTTCTTCCCACCGCTGGGCAGTCAGGGACACGTGGCCAGCACTTGACTTCTGGGGCACAGCCAGCAGGGTGCAGAGCTCCAGCCCACTTCTGCTCTGCACACAAATCTGGGGGGCACATGCCCCCCATGCCTTCCCCAGGGGTACGCACAGCAGCAGGGTGCCATCGCCCCCCCACAGCTCCATCCCATGACTGGCCCTGGGGTCCCATTTACCCCAGCCTGTGCCCCACTCCCTCCCTCACTGTGGGGGCCTTGATCTGCCCTCCCCACAGACTGACTTGCTGGGCACTGCTGTACACACTGCCGGGCTGTATTCCTGGTTGCATGCATGTTGCAGCTGCGCACCTGCACGCGGAGTCTGGGTGTGGGCTCCAAAACCACGTGCGCAATTAACACATTAAAAAATTAATTAGTTCTTGTGTTAATTGTACACGTTAACACTAATTGACAGCCCTAATTTTTTGTGGTAGATTTCCATTGAATTCACCCAATTACAACTTTTTCTTTGGAAACATTGTGAAGTTAAAAAAAAAAAAAGGAGCTTATTCTTTGTGCCTATCAGCTTTCTGCAGAGGCAGTCATGAAACCTGTCTGGACAGATTGGTCTTTCACTGGGTTCACCAAACAATTTATTTGCCTGTGTAAAGTAAATTTAATGTGAGAGCTGTTTTATTTTATCAGACTTGACAGTGTTTGAACAATGTTAATTCTTTTGCCCAACTGGCTCTCTAATTGATTTCTGTGCTCAATATTACTATGTAAAACAAACTGTAACATTAAAACCTGTCGTGCTTCATAACTCTAGAGACTTATTTTTCTTCACAGGAAAATCCAATAATATTAGTTTACTAGGGTTTGTGTTTCCCGATATAGTGCTATGTCTTTAAATAATGCTTCAGTATATTGACTAGTACTTTATTAGATTTCTATGATATATTTTGGAGGTGAAAGAGAAGTATTCATTCCAGATGATTCTACTGTTGCTTAAAGAAGAAATATTCGTTTACTACTTTCTACATTTATAATAAATGTATCTTTTACATTCCAGTTAGGTTGCTTATAGTAGATTTTTTTTCCTTTTTCTAATTTACAACAAAACACACCAGCTTAACTTTTTTACTATACCCAAATTGCAGTCTTCGGCCTGACACTTTAGCCCAGCCATGCTTTACATATTTAAAATTTGCTTGTGAGATATTCTGAGAATCTGCAGACGCTGGGCATGTACTACGCACATTATAGAAGTCGTTTTGAGGCAAGCATGATGCCAAGTCATCTCATGTTTTGAGCTAAGTATTGGGAATCAGAAGTGGTGGGTAGAGCTGTGTGGGTAGCACATGAGCATTTTTTTATTCTGGACTCTGACAAGCTGGAGACCTTTCAATATTTTCACAAAGAGAGGGAGAGAGATTCCCCTGCACCACAATAGCTGTTCCTTTATGCATTTGCCCAGGGTGTGAAAGCGTCAGTTTTTCTCTGTTCTGACTCAACCTAGAAAGTTGAATCCCTATTTCCATACCAGGAGCCCCCTTAACCACCTGTCAGTTAGCCTGGGGCAAGTCTCTCTCATCCTGTTACTTGGGAAGCTCTTCCACTTTACATTTTAATTGCTGCAGGAATACATGGGAGAATCAAGGTGCTGTCATGCAAATGCTGTAACCTTCAGGCTCTGTACTCAGTCTCTTCCTCTGTGCCAGTGAACCTTTAATTCCATAGTCAATGCAGAACAGCTCCAACAATAGTGAGTAAGACAGACACCGCCTCCTTTGTCCGGAAAAGTACTGTAGCCACAGGGCTGTTGCACATTATGAGGTAGGGGATATGGTGTCTCACACTTTGGTTTCAAAGAATCAGTTTTCCAATGGAGAAACGGTTTCACTGGAAAATTCCCAGCCAGCAATATTCCTAGTTTCTCTTCCTTGTTCTGTCACTGATGTGTATGGCTACTCTCAAGCAAGCCACCTTGCCTTTCTGTACTTCACTTTTGCCATTTGTACAGTGTCTGCTAATAAACATTTCACAAGGATATTTTAAATCAATTCACATGACTTTTGTAAAGGACTTTGAATCATTGTCTGAAGGTTTTACCTGAATACAGAAGTTGTGTTTTACATAGTACATGGTTTAAACAATTATTTTTTGGCTTATGTTGCAGCTGGTCTGAAAACCCCAAAGACTGGAAGTTTCAAAAGACAAGGCAGACTTGGCTCCTTTTGCACATGTACGATAAAGAGAAGGTTTGTATTAACATTTCTTTTTCTCAAGGAAGTTATAACATAGAGCAAATTACCGCTGTTGTTTATTAACCAATGGGAGCCAAACATTTTTCTAATTTTTATTTCATCTGGACAAGGTGTCAGTTGTACAGTTGATAACTTTGATTCTGTTTTTACAAATTAATCCTTACCCTTCTCTTTGAGATAAATTGGCAAGTCATGGTAGCTGATATGTTACAATTATTTTTAGTCGACTCAAGAAGATGTAGAAGAGCTAATCCACAATGATCATGTCAGACTTTGGGATGACTTCTTGCCTATGCCTCCTAATTTTTGCCATTATTATACAAAAGTGTAATTAGAGCAAGTCTGTATTTGTAATACAAATGGATTAGTTTAGAGCATATCTGAATCTTGATCAGATTAAAGAATGTAGAACCAAATGCTATAAGCATAGATCTTAGGCAGATGATGAGACTGTTAGAAATCCCTTCAGGCTCTGCCTGAGATGTGAAACCATATTAACAAAATGCAAATCTAGTTTATCATTGCAACGTAGGTGGGACTTTAGCCTGGCTATAAAAGGGCTGTCAGTTAATCTTCCTTAAAAATTGGAAGCCAGACTTGCACCAATGTTGAAATCCAGCAATTTCATAACTTAGAAAATAACATGGATTTGATTTCCACTAAGCCTCTGGTTACTCTGGCATTTAGGGAATGTTTCAAATCATTCCCCTTTGTTGCATAATAGAACGAGCCTTCTTGCCAATACATAGTGGGTTGTTGTTCATTGATTCTTGTAGAGTGGCACGGAACAGTTTTTGCTAATTGTTTTCATGCTGTCCATATATTTAAGGATTTTATTTTTCAAAGTTCATTTTATAATTCAGAATGTTTAAAATAATTTTCTGTTCCACATTATTATGTAAATGTCAAGCCATCTACCAACATAAAGTGTTCTTTTTATGACTAGAAGTATTTTTAGACTAAATAAATTAGTATAATCAGAGATTCCTGTCAGCAAAAATATTCACAAAATATCAACATGATCTTAGTGGCATAGGTATATTTTTAAAAGTTTGGATACAGAACAAGAATTTAATAGCAGGTATGTGGACTAATTTGCTCTGCACTTTATTTTTATTTATTTTAAAGCAATCTATCATATCCTATCAAACACAACATACGTTCTCTACAGCTGCCTCATAGTAATTTCACAGCCAAAATAATCTATTTGGTTTTATATTAGTTTGTTTATGGGGTTTTTCATGTTGAAATAAATTGGTTAACAGTTCTCTGCAAAAAAGTTCGGTTTTCAATGGATTTGGGAAGCCTACAGACCTTACTTCTGTATTTCTCTGAATGCAGAGAAATAACAGTGAAATAAATAGCTTTCAGGGCATAATCAGTTATTTATACTAACATATTTTATGTTATTTAATATAGGTAAGCTCACATTGTAAATGTTTTTTTTAATAAATAATTAATTTCCTCATTCAGACTTACTAAAATCAGTGGAATTATATAGGTGGTTTAAGTTAAGCACAGGGTAACGCACATCCTTATCATAACCACAGTGAAGGTAGAGCAAGGAGTTGATGATTTTTTTTCTTTTTTGTCTGACACAGAGGCTAGGGATAGAAATTGCACATAAACCAGTATAAGTGATCAGAAACTGATTCAGATCTGTAGCAGAACAAGAGTTCAGTGCACATAAACTGCTTTCAAAATGACCGAAACCAGTTTAAGATAAACCTGGATGGACGTAGTATCAGACTTGACAGATTTGGATTAACTCAGTTTATTGATCTTCTGTCCATGATCCCCTGCAGATTCAGGTTATTTTACATGAAGGAGGGATAAACTGTCAAAATTAGCTTTCATCTACCTTGAGAAAAGTGTGTGCACCTGGGCAGTTACTGCAGAATGGCTGACATGCAATAAAACCCTACCTTACTTTGGCTTTTGGTAAATGCAACTCCCTCTTAACCAGGAAAATCTATAGGAGCTCAAAGCATGAATGTAATAATACACAAGAAAGCATCCTTTTCCTTTCCTTGCCAAGGTCCATCTCTGGTGATGCTCAGATCATTGCTGGAGGGCTGCCAGCAATCAGTCAGTGCTCCTTTCTTTGAAATCAATTAGTGCTCAGCCTCTAAAATCCAGCTGTTAGCTGGCTGGCAACTATGGGATAAACATGTGTGCCTGATGTTTACAGCTGTTGAGGGGCACCTGCAGGGGCCTGGGTAGAATATGTTCTGCCAGCTGCTGGTCTTCAAATAGTCCAATTGGTCATCATTTAGGGAGTTAAATTACACAGCATAGTTTAAAAGCAATTGCCACCCAAAAATGATATTTTCCCCCCTGCTAATGTTCCTTGTTAGCGTTTTCCCTCCCTCACATGTGTAGAGTGCAGTAAAATACCCAAAAGTTGATAATAAGTGCTTCAGTTTTAAAATGGATGTGTTCGTGCCATACAGTTGACTGCTCATAATACATCTTTCTTAGGGATGGGATGCTCAGTTAATTGATTACATGAGAGATCAGCCACCTGTTGGAATACTGTTCATGGCCTAATCCAGATGCATCAAAAGAATTCTTCTTTTAATTAGCATCAAAAGAAGTAGTTCTGAAAATCTGCTCACATCTATTAACAATAATTCTTTGACGTGTGTAATATTTTTACTCTGTCCTTTGGAACCATCAAACCAGCTTTCTGAAAAAGATAATTCTGTGATATCCATGCCTACATTTTCAGTAAGAAGCACTTAAATATTATTTTAATGATGATTTAAACTTGGAGGAGAGATGAGTGACATTTGACACTTCTATTCTTTTTGCTACTATTTCTGGTTGGGTAAAAAAAATATTATTTTAATTCCATCTGTCTCTGCAATTAAATGTTTTATAGACTTAAGAATAAGGTAGCCCCATATGCGTCTCCATACTTAACATTTTCAACTTCAGAGCAGAGTGTCACCATGAGCAATTTTTAAAACTTCTAATATTATAAAAGCCTTAATCTGTCTGTCTGGTTGTCCATAACGCTTTAGTCGTGCTCTTGACTGGCTCGCCCCCCCACCCTGCTCCCTGGAGGCAGCACCAACGGAGCAGACAGAATGGGGGGAAGCGAGGCCAGCAGCACTCGCCTCGCCCCTGCACCCCTGCCCTGCTCCGTGCAGGTGGTCATGGTGGAGCGGAGGGGGAGCGAGGCCACCGGAGCTGGCCTTGCCTTCCCCCTTGCTCCTTGGCGGTGTGACAGTGGTGGTGGTGGCAGGGGGGCAATGGAGGGGGGGAGCAGTGGGAGGAGCCTTCTCCCCCCCC